ACCTTCTGATCCAAGATTATTATTTCGGAGATTCAATGAAGTCAATAAGGTGTTCGTACAAAGTGCAAATGCTAATGCTTTTCCTCCTTCTGATCCAAGATCATTATTTTGAAGATCCAATGAAATTAACGTGGTGTTCTTGCAAAGTGCATCTGCTAGTGCTATTCCTACTTCTGAACCAAGATTATTCTCACGAAGATTCAAAGAAGTCAACGAGGTGTTCGTGTAAAGTGCAAGTGCCAATGCTTTTCCTCCTTCTGATCCAAGGTTATTTTTACTAAGATTCAGAGAAGTTAATGTGGTGTTTTTGCAGAGTGCTTTAGCTAATGCTTTTCCTCCTTCTGATCCAAGATTATTCGAACAAAGATTCAAATTTTTCAAGGTTTTGTTCTTGCAAAGAAACTTTGCCAATAATGTCCCTCCTTCAGTATCTATCTGATTATTATAAAGATTTAAAGAATTTATGACAACATTTTTATAAAGAGCGTTTAATAATATGTTCATTTCGTCAGATCCAAATTGATTAAATTCAAAATTCAAGGAAGTCAAAGTATAACTCTTATAAAGGATATTTACTAATACATCCATTGCCTTAGATTTAAGATCATCACTGATATTATATAAATTCATAGAGGTAATAGTAGTGTTCTCATAAAGCTTTTCAAATAATAATTGATTGCAAATAAGTTCATTAAGGCTTAAATATTTAAGATTCTTACTAGTTCGTAAAAGCATTGTAATCAAAGAACAATTAATTGTATTTTCAAGCTCATGTGCTATTTTATTAGGAAACCAATTTCTAACTCCATCATACAAATCATTACTAATGGATGTGATATAACTTATATATTCAAATAGTGGTTTTGGGTGATTTGGAAGGGTAATTTTAAAAGGAATTAATCGAGACTGCTCTTCTGCATTTAATGTTAAAAGAAATATTCTTATAAGTCTTTTATCTTTCAAATGGTGTTTCGGTTCACTCCATAATATTGGTATAATAATTCTACACCATTGACGGTTTACAAGTGCACATGAAAATAAGCTCTTATAATTATGCCGGAGGTTATTAAATATTGTATAGTAACATTCATTCGGTATTGTTAACATATTGAAAAATTACTAAAAATTGCGTTATGTATGTATGTACGCACGTGCGAACGTACGTTGGATTTATATCTCCGGCATGTAGCATAAAAAGTTGTGTACATTGCCCAAATTTGAAATGGTTTGCTTTATGGTACAAACATACATAGGTACGTACGTACGTGCATGCGTACGGTCGATTTTAATTTCTTCCGCAACTGTTCCTCCATAAAAATTTTGAAAGTTATTAAATTAGAATTTCGCAATTTGTTTTAAATATATAGAAATAGATACTATTTACCTTCATTAAAGACAACATTTCAACTGAGTGAAATCATTTTGCTTTGTAGAATTAAATATTTCGCTCTGCAACTCATGATTAATATAAACTCGTGGCTTTATAATGTTGAGCTTGTGATGTAGTCCAGAATTCCAAAAATTCTGTTCACTCAAAACTAAGTATTTCTATGTCTTTATTGAATTACTATTTCAGATAGTATTTGTTGTGGTCCGTGTAACCTTACATCAGCCTCTGAATCAGACCTGCCATTTACAATATCCATATGCGGTGTTTAAAATTACCTTGCACGAGATACACATGCAAGAAAGTAATTTTTTTTTGTGCAAGATCTAAATGTATATGCACAATTGTGCAATTAAATTTAAATAAAGAGCTTGTGCAAAAAATGACGTGCAAGAAAAATCATAATATTTTATTGCAGAAAAATTTAGTCTAAATATAAAATGAGATAGATAAAAATATGTAGTCCAAAGAGTTCCGAAAGGAAAATGAATGAACATAAAATACGTGCAAGATTGATCTTAAATTTTGGGAAAACACCCGAAAAATTAACCAAAAAATATAAGATATATTTGGTATAGTAATTTTATAACGGGATAACGGGATCCGATCAAATCACCGACAATCACTTCATAGACACCACATTTCACCGACAATTATTCATCGACAAGTTCATTTTACCGACAGTCTATTTCACCGAAGCTCATTTTACAGACTAAGTAATTCTGGTCAATAGCATTAGTGTCAGGTAGAATTAGAACTAAAGTTAGTGTAATTTATAAAAAAACTTGTCGGTGAAATGAGCTTCGGTGAAATAGACTGTCGGTAAAATGAACTTGTCGATGAATAATTGTCGGTAAAGTGTGACGTCTATGAAGTGATTGTCGGTGAAATAATACGGATCCTTTTATAACGTTGGCATCATTCAGAGATAATAAATATGTGCATATAAAAATAAAGTTCATATGTACATGTGTGCAACTAGTAGTTGGTTCGTGCAATCTATGTAGGTTTCGACTTGAATTTTAAACACTGCTCATATGTTGAGGAAAGATTGGGTCAGAAAGAGCCTATATGAGTAGTTATACTTGCATAAAATTGACAATGAGCGAGAAACTAGAACATTGATCTTTAATAAAAACATAAGCTATTATGAAGAATTAATTACAGAGTACTATTAGAAACCTTTAAGTCCAGAGATTTCTATTAGTAAATCCAAGGAAATTGAAAATATATAGAAGATGTAGCGGTATCTTAATAGATTAGATTTGCAGTTTTGGGACAATGAACTAGTGATTTGAACCGGGTACCAAATTATTAATTGGTTAACCAAACTGGTCTCAACCGATTCCAATCAATTCCAATCGAGTTACAATTGTTTTCATAAATTCTGGGACACCGAAAAAATTAGTCGAATGATTTTTCAGCCGATTCTACTATGTTTATGATTCCGGCAATATATTTTTAATTTTAAATTTTCGTCCATTTGAATATTTGTTTGGTGTGTTTGTTTGTACAGTACGAAAATTTAGTGAAAAGACTACCGATAAATCTTGTAAAGAAATAAAAAGAAGGCTCCAGTTATAAAGTAAATAAACTTAATCGAATCGAGCAAAAATCATTCGGTTAATTTTTTCAGATGTCTCAGAATTTATGAAAACAGCTGTAACAAGTTTGGCATGAGTTATCCGGCTTAATCAGGTCAACTGAATTACAGTTGTATTCATAATTCCTGAATGCTTACTAAAAGCTTGATGGCTGATTCGGCAAAGTTGTATTCTAAACTTCTAAGACATCTTTTATAATAATAATAATAATAAAAATAAAAAATAAAAAATCAAAATCCATTTACTTTGCGTTAAATTTGTTAATCAAACTTCTTTGCAGTGATTAACATCTCGTCAAATACAAAAAGAATGCCATAAAGTTCATTTCATGTACTGACTGATCAAGGTCATAATGGATTCTGACCCACCGAAGGTACTAACAATTTCACGATAAATGGAAATTTGTTCTCAAATGCGATGATGAATTTATATTTACTTTCATTGGTTCCTCAAAAGGTTCCTTAAAATCTACTGAAGTTTTTGGACATTGTTCACAGATGAAAGAGTGCCCACCCAAACATAAACATAAACCACTATATTGTTCAAAAACTTCTCACTGAATGCATCAAATATATTTATTCCCCAGAGAATAATATCTCGGATTTTTATCCATAGCAGATAGATATAAACCTAAATTTAAATTTTAGATTGTGTGCAAACAACTATCGGCGGATAACTTTCGTGGTGAAGACCAACACCCTTGTATGCGGATTGCTAGGGTTAGGTATGGTCATGGGTTATCGGATCATGACCGTGTTGCATAAATGGCGTTTTCAGAATTGAAATCGGTCGGTCAATGCTTCGCAGCAATCGGATCACCGACCAACAGAATTCGGAGAATGAAGATCGAAAGAAGACGTGTTAGATTTGGACGAGTGGTTAATAGAAGAATGTATGTAATTGGTAGGGTATGTTTATATGACCCAGGTGTTTTATTATTTAGATAAAACGGGAACTATCTCTCCTTTTCGAAGGACCAGAAGGCCTTTATTTATAATTGTGAACTCTACTATTTACATTGCAAGAATCATCTATATTACTAATATCACTAATAAACCCACTATCGACCTTATAGCCGGTATTATTAGAATCCACCATATTACTGAAATAATACCCTGACCGTATGTGAATTAGCGGGACTTTCAGCCCCGCCAATACCCAACGGATCAGGATATTATTATTACTTATCCTTATTATCCAGATCCCTCCAATTTCCTAGATCTGGGTTTTCGGAGAAATCACCGCGGTCTCGTTGGCGCATGAATTAATTTGAAGTCTATTTGTGTGTGTATTGCATGTTGCGTGTAACCGGGTAATCTAATACCCGGATTGATAAAACGTATCGATCCCAAAGGGAAGTTGTAAGCAGAGAAAGCTTTATTATACTTAGTGAATAAACGTTCTTAGTAACAAATAACAGTTGAGGTGGTAGTGCCTGGTGTGATACACCAATGCCAAAGCGAGTGCTCAGACTTAGTGGAATCGGGCCAAAGACCTATAACTAAGAATCGACGTGACAATAACCGTCTGAAATATAAAAAGTTAATCATTTTTATTGTCAAATTTTATTTGCACTTCACAGTAATATTGTTATGTGTCATTTATTAATTAATGTCAATTCGGAATAGACATATAATTTAATAATAAATAAATTTTAAATATAGTATATTCTAAAATATAAATAAGAATACTATAACTTTCAAATTATTAAAGTATCTTACAATCTTTTGCAAAGTGTTAAGTTTTTATTTTCCATAAAAACTTTTTTTGAAAAAATAATTTATTAATAATACTTTATGATTTAAAAATATTTTTTGGATAATTTCACTGATAAAGCTGCTCTGAGTATCTTAACAAAAAAGATTCCTTGGACAAAAAATTCCGACACTCTGTCCAGTACCAGTGACCGAGTGTCTAGAAAACGGCTAAAAATAAAAAAAGAAACAAGAGTTTATAGTGACAATAATATTCCACCGGGGGCAGAGGCCCTGGTAAAGAAGAAAAGAAAGATGGATGAGTCGAGAGCAGAAAAGTTGAGCGAAAAAAGACGGAAAACGCACGAAAATAACTCAAAATTGAAAGATGAAGATGGAGACAAAGAAAACATGGACCCCACAAGACAAACAAATAAAATGGAGAATAATACTTTGAAAGACAAAGAAATCATGGTCAATAGCTGGTTTAATATGGCGGAAATGGAAAGGGCTCAAAAAGGCGCACCTATACTCGAAAAACAACTTGGCAGTAAAGACGACCTAGAAAGTTCCAGAAAGTTTTCGGAATCGGAATCAAACGGAACGGTATCAGGTGACAATAACGTGATGGAATTGGACGTAGGTCCCAAGCCACAAAATGTGAATAGCAGTTTAGAATTGGAGGAATCGACTAATACTAAAGGTGTACAGTCGGTTGAACCAGCACGTACTCCTAAGAAATGGTCCAGCTTCTTTACACAGTTAAGGCGGGGCCAAGCTACTTTTTCAAATTATACACCAAGAGTGGAAATTACAACCAAGAATAATAACGCACTCATCTTTGACATTCGTAGTCTAGACGACATACAAATGAATGACATTATCTCTACTCTATACAGCAAAATCGGCAATGATCTAGTTGGGGCAAAACCTCATTATACTAGAGGGAAAAGAACACATTTAGAACTGGTATTCAGCAGTGAAGATAAACAGCAATATTACGCAAAGGAAGGTATCTCGCTTTTTAGAAGATCGTTATTAGGTTATATACCTACAAATTTGAGGAGGACGCATTTAGCAATAAAGGTAAGAAACGTTCCAATTGGGGATAAAGACTTTATATCCAACAAGCTAAAGGAAGCTTTCGAAGTCTTTGGACATATTAAGTCGATCAAACCGTTAGTGTACGAAGATACCCTGGTTTGCACGGATCAATGGATAATTTTATACGAAACGACAGAAGATCCGGAGTTAGAACAAAAAATCCCAAGGCATACAAGCGTATGGGGCCAAAAAGTTACGACAGAATGGAGAGCAGCTCCTAAATTATGTTTCTATTGTGATCAAGCAGGGCACCTGAAAAGGGATTGTCCGCAATATAAAGAAGCAATAGAGCTTAGAATGCAGTACAAGAAATATAAGGAAAACAAAAGGCATAAGCGAGAAAATTCAGATGAAACTAATCCAAATGGAAACGACACTGTTAAGGAACAGAATAATGAAGACAGCAAGGAATCGGATGGCCTGGTGCAAGATACTTTGGTCGGTGATGATATAGAAATGCTGTCACAAGAAGGCGAATCTCTCGAAACTATGCTAGAAAAAGACAGAAATGAGGAAAACCAACAGGAAATACAAGATAATATGTTGCAGCAAGTCGAAGCAAATGCGGGCATACATCAGGACATGCCAGTTGAACAAGTAGATTTAAAGGAAACAAATCATCAGGCACAGAAGAGTACTGATGACACAGGTACGAACCCTTTGAACTTGGCTCATGAACCTGTGCAGACACAACTACAGGGGAGGAATGTTGAGGTACAAGAAGATGATGGCTTTACAATGGTCACGCACAAAAAACTTAGAACAAAGAAAAATATATATTCACATGATAGCAGATCTAGACCGTATGTAAATAATAGACCATCTAGGGATGGTCGTAATAAATAAGCATACGATATAAATAGGCGCGGATCTGAAGGTACAAATAACCAAATATATATATTAACATGAGTAAGTATAACACTTTCAGAATCGCCACACTTAATGTGAAGGGCCTTAACGATAGATACAAGCGTCAACAAACAATTACTTTAATTAAGACATATAAGATAGAACTAATTATGATACAGGAAACAAATTTAACTAATGATAATACAAGGAACCTTTTGAAACAGCAGTGGGGATACGACTCCGTATGGATATCGAAAGTAGCCATTTTGGCCGGAAATAGAGATATAAAATTCAAAAAAATTAAAGAATCTCATCAGGGAAGGGTTCTTTGTACAGAATTCTATTATAGGAAGCGATTATTTCGGGTTGTTAATGTGTATGCCCCTCCGGCGCTAGATGAAAGGATTCAATTTTTTGGGACCTGGTCAATACAAAGAAACACTAATGCAATTAACATAGTAGCAGGAGATTTTAATGTGAATCTAGATCCAGACATAAACAGGATAAGTCACGTGACACCACATAACAATCCGTCGAGAGAAAAACTGAAGGAAATTACATGTGGTATGGTAGACACGGTAATTGCAGCTTCTCAAATGCCATTTCTAACATATTTCCATAAGACAAGAGGAGGGCATAATATGGCCACAAGGCTAGACTACATTTTTGTAGACGAGCAAAATGTGCAGTACTGTCAAAGGACGCTTACAAAATTTGGCAACTTGGACCACCTCATGGTATCAACTGAAATGAACTTTAGTAAAAATGATTTACAAGCATCATACTGGAAGGTAAATCATAAGTGCCTTGAAAATGAGGTATTAAGGAAAGAGATTGTGGAGAAAATACGAACAGTCACAGACCTGGAGAGTTGGGATTACTGCAAGTGTAAAATACAATCATTAATCAGAGCTAGGGGCCTCTTAAAGCTCCGGAAAGTAATATTCAAAGATTGAGCAGGAAAATTAACGTACTAGAAAAAAGATCGCTAGAGACCAGAACCTATCTGATCTACAAATGGTAATCAAAAATCTAAAGAAAAGCCTTCAAGACGAACTTCAGAATCTAGCTGATAAATGGCAGGTGCGCTCCAACGCAAGGTGGATCGAACGAGGTGAGAAATCGACAAAGTATTTCTACTCCAGGTTTAAGAGTAGGCATAATACGGCAGCGATAGACAAGATCAAAATTCCCAATAATGCGGGGGCGTCAAACTCAATCGAGGTACTACATTACATCAAAGAATATTACAGTCATATGTACCAACCGGAGCCAATTAAGGCAGAGGCTGTGAACAGAATAACGGAAGGTCTTCCACAAGTAGAAATATCAGACAATCAAAATCTAATTAAATATATTACAAAAGAAGAGATAATTGAAGTAATACAATGCCTTCCTAATAACAAGGCCCCAGGGACAGACGGCATTATATATGAATTAAATAAAGAGCTAATAGAAGAAAGTAGTTCAGTTTTTGAAAAAATCTTTAACAACGTAATTGAAAAAGGTAAAATGCCCAGCTCGTGGTGTAAAAACGTGATAACATTGATCCCAAAGAAATCGGAAGATTTAGAAGATGTTCGAAACTAGAGACCTATTTCCTTAACGAACTGTGGTGTTAAAATATTTATGAAGATTCTAGCTAACTGTCTTAACAACATTTGTCAGAAAGTAATCAGTACTTACCAGCAAGGTTTTATTAGAGGGAGGTTGATTTTGGAGTCTGTAATGGACATTATATCTGTTATGAGGAATCAAAGCAATCAAACACGGCAAGGTTGGATGTTGTTTCTGGATCAACAAAAAGCCTTCGATCGTGTTAGCCATACATATTTACAAGAGGTATTAACAAAGATGAAGTTTGATCCAAAATTCATACGAACAATTAGTACATTATTTTCAGAACAAACTGCATTTATAGCAGACTCAGGAGTAATATCAGAACTGTTCAAAGTAAGTCGTGGAGTGAGGCAGGGTGACCCACTCTCACCTCTTCTGTATATACTAGCTTTCGAACCTTTTCTTAGATCGCTTGATAAAAACCTAATGGGAATAGATTTAAGTTAGCAGTCAAACCAACAAAGGTTTAAATTAACAGCCTACGCAGATGACCTCACAATAAGCATAGCTTCATATGCAGAATGGGATGTTGTTACCAAATTGATTCAAAAGTATGAAGAGGTATCCAACGCAAAAATTAATAAAACCAAATTAGTGTTAGTACCATTAACATATAATGCCTGACATATAGAACATCTTGAGGCAAAAAAATTCAAAATGTTACCAGATAACGAACTGGTTAGAGCACTAGGATACGAGTTGGACTCGCAAGGCAGAATAAGTAAAAACACTTGGCCAGAGATGATATTAAAAGTTAAGGCTATGCTAGAAAAACTATCGCAGCGTAACCTGTCTATCAAGGGCAGAATTTTAATAATTAAAACTTTGGTTTTGTCAAAAATTTGGTATGTTGCATACCTTGCACCTCTGAGTAGGAAACAACTAACAGAAATTGACAATCTTGTAAGGGGCTGGATTAAAAACTCCTGTAAGATTCTCCCAAGATACTCGATTCTACAGCAAGGTTATAAATATGGTGGTCTAAATGCACTGATAATAAAGGACCTAGTGGATGCAAGATTAATTACTATTTTTATAAAATTACTTACGAGTAACAACTGCTGAGCAAAAACAGAAAGAGAGCTAATTAGGGTAAAGCTACAAAACAAAAGGAACATCACGGCATTAAAGGCACTAAATGAGGTATCGGTAAAAACCAGAGCTTGGCCAGAGTACTGGAAACCTTTTATTATAGCATGGAAAAGAATCGGGGGTTCCATAAATCAAGATGTGGATAAGTGGCCCTGGGAACCAGAAGACATTAAAGTTGCTAACGTACCAGGAAACGAATACACAGTGCAGAAGGGAGCTGCTTTTTTAAAGAATAAATCTTTGTTGATGGCTATACAGAAGCAAGAAAACGATAGTGGGGTAAATAGTGACTTATAGAGATGGTCAAAGACAAAATGGGTTAACAACAAGCAGAAAGATATTTTTTGGCAGTATTGCCATAGGTTGTTGCCATTAGGGTACAGGCTAAAATATATAATACCGAACTACGATGGTACCTGTCTGATGTGCTCTGAAGAAATCCAAACTAATGAACATTTTGGTGTAAACTGTAAAAATAGTAAAATCATATGGGAAACGGTATACTCACATATAAACCCAGGGGAGACCCCTCCGAGAACCTATGAGGAAACCATCACGGCATCGAACATTAGAGATGCGAGTAAGAAGAAAATAGCGAGATGGTTACATGTTAACACATTATACGAGATTTGGTTTTGTTATACCCAGGCTAGATGGGGTGGAAAACTAATATCAGAACCTGCACTTTCCATAATCATTAGGAATAGAATTGAGAAGGAGTTCAAAATATTAAAGCATTGTAATATGTATAAGAGAACGGAGGGTGGCATACACAACTTTAATAAGTAGTAGATGAATGATATGTAATATGTAATATAATAAAGTACACCATCCGGCTTCCCCATAGTAGGGGTTTATATTAAAAAAAAAAAAAAAAAATATTTTTTGTAGAAGTATTGTTTTTTTTTGATTGTATATAAGTTTATTTTCAAAATTTTATCTTATTTATTAATTGAAAGGTAGAATAAGAACAAAGGTTTTCAAGCATAATTATAGATACTAATGCTCTAAATAATATAAAAATTACTTAATATAAGATTAAATAAATTTTTAAAAATTTTAATAAAATACTTACAAAAGTTTATATTTATCTGTTAAGCCTTCTATTTTAGTAACATATAGATGACTGTTATACTGTATACTATTTGAATTTACAAGTAGAATTCATTTACTTGGTACTTTATAATAACTAATATATTGTTTAGATACTTCTACCCAAAGAATGCCTCTCAAAATAGCATGCATCTGCGCATTATTTCGCGCAAAAACAGTAATCAAAACAAATAAAGTAATGCATTAGTAATTATTCAAATTATCACATACTTTTTAGAGATAGCCAATTTTTTCCGGGTACCACGTTAATTTTTTTTTTTTTTGTTTTAGATACGAGTAATGTTGTTAGTCAAAATTATTTTTGCCAATATCAATAAATGTCTAAATATCTAAATTATTTTTTTTTTAATTTTTTAATAGTAATTTTTAAAAAAATAACAAAGTCAAAATTGCCTAAATTCAATTTGCCTAAATGCCTAAATGTCTAAATTATTTCGACTAACAACATTAGATGCGAGTAGTTGAGTTTTTGGTTAAATAATAATGATAACATTACTAATTAATTATTAATATTATTTACCATTAATAATTTGATTATTGCTATTAATTTATGTTATTACATTAAAAATTGCATATTATGCAAAATCATACTAAAATCAAACTTAAAAGTCTAAAAATTTCATAAATTAATGAAATAGATAATGATACTGCGCTGCATATCATTAAGTAGTTTTTAGTTAATGGCTAATTAATTCAGGAGGTCCCATTACTAGAAGCGAGTAGACATTGTACCTGGGTCGGGTATTACCCGGTTTACCCGCGGATAATCAGATATCCGGGTTGTGATTACAGCTACCCGGATAAGTACACTCGGGTAATACCTGGGTAATATATCCGAATAATATCCGGGTAGATGTATCGGGTAGATTTATCTGGATAATATCCGGGTAATATATCTGAGATGTCAATTGTATTATATTATTCATTACAGCTATTTTCATAATTTCTGGAACACCTACTCGTTACCTGAAATCTTTTCGGTTGTCCGGTAAACTATTTAATTTTCCAGAAAATACATTGCTGGCTCTGGACTGAAGGTCAGAAGACTGTGATGTAGATAATTTACCAGACGACCGAAAGGATTTCGGGTAACGAGTAGGTGTTCCAGAAATTATGAAAATATTGATGAATAAATCAATTTTTGTCTAGTTGAACGCAGCATTTAAAACAGAACAGTTTAATATAGTACTTAAAAACTGAAGTTTTTTTTTATTCTAATTAAACCTTTTCATCACCAACATCATGTGAAATTTTTTTTTTTTTATAACACATAACATTATGGTTAATTATTCAAGTTCACGAAATGTAATTATTAAACATAATCCAAAGCCGTAGCACTGAAATGAGATACAGGCTGAAGTTACAACCCACAGAAAGATATAGCGTTGGACGATGGTGGATAATATGAATAACATATTTAATTGGCAACAATTAAATAATGTAGTATGAATTGATACATGATTCAATCTATCTTTAATAATAATAATAAAAACATAATAAGCTATAGAGTAAAAAATCTCTAATTAACAAGTTAATTTCTTACTCATGATAAAACTTTGATAAAACCTAAGTTTGTCATAATAAACGAATTGTTATAATTTGTACACTAAATTTTATTTCACTATTTTTGTATTAAAATAGAAAATAACATAGTAAAGTGCTCATTTAATAATAAATAAAAAAAAACTTTAACAGTATAAAAATAAAATGGATTGGTAAAATTAATACAAAGCATATAGTTTATAAAAAAAAAAATGGATTGGTAAAGTTAATACATAGCATTAGTGTTCGAAATTGGTATTCTCAGAGAACACTATTATAAATTTGTACACAGTATAAATTTTTTACTGTTCAATATGAAGAGTTTTTTGAGAACAGTAAAATAATAATAGTATTCTCATATGTATATAATAAGTATAATAAGCAGCTATACATATAATATTGTTAATCAAAAAATCAATAAATATACAATAACTAATTTT